GGGGAATCAGTACCGGAGCCAACGGCCCAAACCTAAAAAACAAGACCAAAAATATCACAACACACACTCAAAAAATAGGCAAACCTAAAACAATAAACTATAAAACAAAAGAGAAAACCCTTCCCTAACGAACGAACTAGTCCGAACCAGAAGTGAACGATCGACACAAGACAAATTCAGGCCAGAAGTCTGCTACTGAAACTGCAATCAAGCCTATAAGAAACCTACACCCGAACAAGTCCCCGAATCAACCCATCAAAAACTGAGAGCGCCAATTCAACCCCACACCAATTTTCAACCGAATTCTTCTAACACCACTAGACGAAGCCGATGGAAACCACCCCCGCCTCCTAACACCACTAGGCAAAACGGGGGATTGTGTCGAGCGAACAACCCTCACCCCGGCCACCGCAACCAGAAGCCACAACCACCGGAGTCCCATCATTCCAAATACCCGCAGCTACCCGTCCTCTCAGCAGACACCCCGACCAGAGGCTCCATCCCGACAGAAAGGACGGAGCTCCACCGGAGAAGACATCCCGACAACACAGAAAAAAGAGACAACGAACTTACCATCTCCAGTCGGAACTCATCGGCGATGTAGGAACACCACCACCAAGCACCTACCTAGGACGGCGCTGCCACTAGAACTCCAATCTGCAACCGCGAGCTAGAGCGCAAATCGCGGCCCATCCGCCAAGATTCAGGAGCGCACGACATCAAAGGAAGACGAGACGGTCATCGACGACCCCTGGCCGTGACTAACCGACACCGAGGAAGACGAAATCGCCGGGAGAAAAAGGAGAGCAAATATCATATGATCTTATACAACCAAGACTATAATAAATGATTATTTTATAAGTACCTACAAGTAATTTATATGCAAATATCATATGATCTTATACATTTATAATATTTTATAAACTTATATATAATAAGATTTATATATTAAATAGTCAAAAACTAAAAAAAAATATAAAAATAGAAATTAACAATTTTATAGTAAATAAATAAATGTCATATTATTACTAAATATTATATTGTGAAGAATATAATTTCATATTGTTTTGCATTGCACACAGGTTCAACAGTAGTTTTTTCCAAAATCAAAACGGGCCAACAAAAAATTTCCGTTTTGAATGGATTTATTTGTACCCAAACACGTCCTAACCGTCCGAGAGATATTTTCGCCGTATATCGTATATAGCAGGAGAGAATGGTAATTTTGTAATAAGATATCGTACATTATATTCATATACTACCTCTTATTCTTTTTAAATGTCATTTTGACATTATCAACTATTAACAAAATAAATGTCGTTTTGGATATTCTGTACATATTTTTTCATTATTACTCTCATCTAACTAATAAATACATTACGTCTTTTTATATTCACTCTTCATCTCTTCTCAAAACATTCATCTCTTCTCAAACATTAATCTCTATCATTATTATTGAGGGTTATTATTGACAAAAAAAATATTTTTAATAACTGTGCAACTTCTGAAAACGGCACTTATTATGAATAGGAGAGAGTATTTTACAGCATACATGTAAATATCCATATATATACATTTCAAGCTGAAAAGACGCCATTAAATTGGATAATCCATTGACCTTCAATCTCCTCCGCAAAATCACTGGTCTAAACGCCGCTCATTAGGGTTTCCATTTTTTACGTCGCCAGTCGTGCTCTGTCCCTCCAATTCATGTGTCGATATGATCTGATCTGATCGGGTACCGCCGGAAAAATATAATCTCTCTGTGATCATTTCTCTCCCATCTTTATTTTTTCTTTTATTTGTCTGTTTAATTCGGCCTGTGCATAGTTTATGACTGTGTAGCGAAATCCGGTGAAAGATTGGTGAGCTGTGAATCGAAGAGCATCGAACAATGCATTCGGTGCCTTCCAACGATCTCTTTCTCGGCGCGTGCCCGCACTTCAGCTCCTTTTATGGCGGTTCGTCTTCCCATCGCCTGAAACATTTGCAGAAAAGCGATCGGCGTGGTAATCTTAGTAGTTAACGTTTTGCGGTATATTTCTAGCTGGTTTTAGCATCGGTTGATTTCAGATCGAGGTTTTTTTGGAGCTGTTTTTGTCGATTTCCGACGGTGTTAACGTGTAAGGTTGGATTGAGTTTGTATTTGGAAACTGAGCTTATCTGAGCTATTGGATCTCTGATTTTATCTTCTTTGGGATATTGTCTCGAGAATATTGATTAGAAAGCTTCGTGTCAAGGAAATAAACTCAGGTACTTTGAGGAGGTGATTTAATGTTGAATCATTTCATTTTTTGTGTTTCTGTTTGATGTATCGTTTTAGATGTGTTTATTATGTTTCTTGTTAAAAATTGTGATGTGATCTTGCATAGTCGTCGTTGTGCTTCTGGATCTATTTGTTCTTCTGCAGTTCTGTAATGAATGTATCTCAGTAGTTCGATTTCTTATGCGTTTCTGAGTATCTTTTACATTTCTCATGTAGAGGATTATTTTGTTATTTGCGTCTGATGTATGATAAGAATGTGAATTGCGATCGACTCGATGAATATGAATGGTGAACGGGACAATGAAATATGGTCATAAATGTACCAATATCTGTCGCTAGTTCAACTTATCTGGCAAATCTAAATGGTGGATCAAAGATGAAACATGGTTATGAATGCAGCCATATTTGTAGTTGCCAAATTTTCATTTGTGCCATATTTTCTCATTTGGCCTTGAGGTAATGCATGAGTAAATGAGCAGTCAATAAATGAAAGACTACTCATTCCAGTGTATATTCTACATCTTGTTCCTTATGACGTGCCATATATTTATATTCCTTTTCTCATACTGGTCGTTTTACTCGTAGATCACAGCTTGTTGTATATTGAATTGGATCATGTGGTGGTTCTCTAATCAAGGCTCAAGGGACTGTTGCTAATTGTATTCCCATGTGATCTCGTGTAGTTTGGACAAAATTTCACACCTATAGATTTGTTCTGAATTTTGAACTTAACTGTTCGCAGCCTTTTTCTCTTTCAGTTGTTCCTCTAGTAGATGGAAGTGTCTGTTCCTGGCAATACATCGCTTTCCTTGGATAGTAGCTGTGGGTCTTTAACTGCCGATCCACACAATCTAATCCAGAACGACTCAGAGGATCTTTCTTCTATGAGTGACCTCAAAACATGTTTGACCGAGCTTCTGAACATTGACGAGAACGGAATATCAACCAGTGGCTCTCACCTTTCCTTCGATAAGAATTGTACTGGAAATGCGGTGAGAGATTGTGATTGCAAAGACTTGGGCCAGAATGTCTGTGGTGGTAGGGCTAATGGAAAATGCTTAAGCAAATGCGCCACATTTCCGCCTGTTCATGAACCTAAATCATCTGGAGATGTGATAGTGGGTGAGAAAGGAAAGCACGTGCAAGATACAACTATTGAAGTCTCTGAAGGAAACGGCTCTGCTAAACCTGCTAATCCGTGCTATGCACGATCCACATCGTTGCCTGTAAGTTCTTTGAATCTTTGACCTGGAATGTGAAGGTTGTTTTAGCTTTACTTAGCACAACGAGTTTCCCTTAGTTTGTAATTGTAGTGTAATCAGTAATGGAACTGAAACTGTTACCTGATTATGTGACAACAATAACAACAACAACATACCTGATTATGTGAATTCCCTGAAAATGTTTTTGCATCCTAATTTCTTCCAAAGGTAAGATTTTTTTTTTTTTTTTTTTTTTTTTT